TTGTTTTAAGAAAAATAATCAGAGGATGGAAGGTAGCTTTCCATTCATTAGAACATCTTAGAGTGGTGGGGGGGACACTATTTAGGCTAGAGGGCCACTTAAATTTTGGTGACCTGTTGAAGGCCACAAACATAAAATGAATGGTGTTTTTAACAATAGCTGTACTTAAAAATGGTTATGGCATTTATAGTATAAAGGATCCTTCATGTCATTTCCACACTTAATCAAAATAACAATGCTTATTAACATGCATAACAACACTTATTAACATGCTAATGAACATAATACAGGTCTACCCAAAACATATTTGCAGGCCAGATAGAATAATTCAGCAGGCCAGATACAGCCTATGGACTGTATTTTGCCTACCTCTATCTTGGAGTAAGAGTGTGCCTGTTTTGCAAGTCTCTGTTTTAGTAATAAAAATGTATACTTCTGAATCCTGGTTGTTTTGTGTTTTGTATGTAAATTTTACTCCGCATGGTTTTTCAGACTATGATCTGTTTTTAAAATGACCCAAAGGTTAAAGTCATAAATGGAACATATTAAAAAGACTGAGAAAATACAGGAGGAATCCCCCTCCCCCCGCCTTGCCTCCTTTTATCTAGTTTATAGTAATTTTGCAGTAATCTTGTAATAATAATAATACACCGTTTTACAATAGCTTTTTTACAATAGTGATTTTTCTAGTTCATGGTATCCTTTTAACTTTTATGACCTCAGAATTATCCAGGTTCAAGTATACAAGAAGAAAATAAGTCTAAAAATATTAATGTTTTGTTTTCATTTGCTTTTTCTGGCTTTTGACTCTTTAGGCTGCACCTTTACCATATTTTCTTCACAATAATGAGGTCTAGAAACTTTCTGTAAAAAAAAAAAAAGCTGAGATTTGCAAATAATCAATAGATTATCTTTGAATCAATCTTTTAAAAAAACCAAAAACAAAGCAGAAACAACAAAGAAACTGAAATCATTAAATACCGTGAGACTTGCCCTGTAATATTTTGCCCTGTTTATTCTTTCTTGTTTTTTTCCTGAGTGAGCTCTTCTTAAGGAGCTCTTCTTGACTATTTTCTATGGTCTCTAGCTCTCTCCTACTATTTTCTTTTCTTTGCTTCCTTTTTCTCTGTGTTCTCCCTTTATCTTTTCAATTTTCATCACCAGCTTTGTTTACCTTTTTTCACTGACCTCTCATCTCTACTTTTTCCTCCTTTATACATCCATAGTTGTTTGAGTAAAATTACTAAAATTTTACTGTTTGCAGGGTCAGGAATTAACCTGGGAGACCAGGACAAGTTTTTCCCACATCTGAATAGGACTTTACTTGTTCCAAAACAAGTATCAGAAATCAGCATAATAAAAATTTACTAACAACAAAAGAACCTTGGAACAATGTTTTAATTTGTATATGCAGAAAGAAATCAGTCAACCAAGTGTTCATGGTTATCAATTACTTTAATTGACATCAGTCATGCTAACATTAAAAAAAAACCTGTTTTAAGTTACTTGCCTACTGGCTGGGTCATAGAATCTATAAGAACTAAGGCTTTGTATTGATCTATTGAGATTAGGAGAAATATACAATGTAATAGCACTAGAAATGCTGAGTTGCTGATATATTCCTGTTATCTCTGAAAACTTTTACATTCAGATTCCATGAAGAAATGCTCTTTAAATATTACCTACTTTTTGTCTTGTTAACTACATTTTAAAGACTTAATGTAAACAAAGCCCTATTTCACTTAAGCCTTCAATTGTGACCTGGCAGTTTAAGAAGAAAACAAGCAAAGCCATGTACTCAGAGTGATCTTTCCTGTTTTTCAGCTTCTTTTTTCTCCGAACACAAAAAACACTGAGTGGGTAGAATTTAAAAATGACATATGCACAGTGTTTTTGGCTTTAATACCAGTATTCAAAACAAGAGTCTGGTTTAAGAGGTCTGACATTGGTATTTCTTTGTTCAGTGGAGCTGTACCTCCCTGAGTTTTGCACCTGATTTTGACCATACTTAAAGGCTCTCAGATTGAACTGCAAATCCTAATAAACACGGACAGATTGTTAGCTTCCCTTCTCATTGTGTTACATCTCTCAGCGGTTACTTGGCAATTAGTAGCTCTAAATTGCCAAAACATAAAAACAAACAGAAAAAATAAAGGGCTTGGCATGACTCTATAGCTTTGTCTTTATTACAGTTTTAGGATATGACTACACTGCTTTTTCACTGTTCCTGAAGCTGCTGTCAATAGATAAGCTTTGCCCACTGCTTCCACTCAGCACAGTTCGTATCTGGAATTAAGATGATTCAGACACTCCAAGGATCCTCTCCTTCTCCTTTTTCTTATTTCTCTCAGGATTTTTGTCTGCCCTTCCCAACATATTTCCAAGACTGAAATGAGCAGTCAGAATGGATGGAAGGGACACATTTTTTTCAGTGGTAACCTCAAGAGCAGTGCAGAGACACTGTAGACATTTCTCTCGGTTCTGTTGTAATGACATCAAAGCCACCAGAATAATAAAGCCTGGCATGGTTTTTCCTGGTGCCGTTAGAGTTCAGTATTATATTACAATTGTGGTTAAAACCCAAGCATAGAAAGGGCAGATTCCATTAAATATGGCACCCTAAAGGGAGCAGTTTAAAAAGTAGTTTTAGATGCAACAGCATTTCCTAATAGACTATTTATTGTTTAAACAAAAAAAATAAGATTTAGTTTAAAGGTAATTTGCTTGGTTTCATCTCTTGCTTTTCTGGATTAAATCTGACATTTTTAGGAGGTGGCATAGATCCTAATTAAATTAAATTTTAAAATAAAAATTGAAGCAAATGCTGTTTCAAACATAAATCTATGAAAAATTATGTATGTGTTTAAAAATATTTGAATAAAATTATATCATTGATGAAAATTTGATTTTTTTTCTTTAAAATGTAGTCTCTAAAGAATGCTGTGAAATTTTGCTTTTCAACAATAAAGGGGAACCAGTATTTTGTCACTCTTTTCCCAAATAATGTTCAAGGTTGTAAATGCCCATGGGAATAAAAATTGAATTAGTTTGGTCCAATAATGAAATGACACTGGTTATTATTTAAGTGCCCAAAGGTGGTTGGTAATAGTGATCTGCACTGTCACCTGGAGACCCCTGTGTCTGACACTTATTTCTGGTTTCTAACTCTCTAGGTTGACAGGAGCTGGGAATTCTTTGGTGCTAGCATGCTTAGCCCTTAGATGGAGGAAGCGTGGTAGCAATCCCTGCAATTGATTTAAGAAGTGACACTAATGAACTCTGAAGGGGTGCAATTATAACTGTGCAATAAGATGTGCATGTGGTGAGGGAAGGGAAGCATTCTGTGGGCTCCTTATTCCACATGCATGCACTTTCTGTCCAGGAAAATAAAATAAAACACAGTTCTACAAAAATAGCAGAATTAATAGGGGGAGTGCAATCTTATTGATACTTTAAATTAAGTAGGTGATTCTTCATGCTTGAATTAACAAAGCAAATGCTGCCTTTTGAAATTTTTATATGTGCCATAGTTTAAATAGAAGACTAATTGATAAGAGCAGAGTCCTTAAATTAATGGCCTAATGGTATATTGTATCAGGGCACTTAAATCCTGTCCCTTTTTTAATGGTTTGGAAATATTTGTCTACATGAGAAGGGCATTCATGTTTTATGGTCTGTAAAATGGATTGGATAATGTAAAACGTAAGATAATGTAATCAACATTCTCTCCATACTTATAACTTCATATGCCCTTCCAACTTTTTAAATGCCACCTTACTTAATATTCTTGTGGGTTAGCTTTTGTTTCCCATTCCACTTTCCAGAAATGCCAAATGCAAGGTGCCACGTCAGTGTTGTATAGTTTTCAGTAATTTACTGTTTGCCCATTATGTTTTTTTGCCCATTTTGTAGTTACAGATAAATGTTTGGCAAGTTCAGAGATCTTTTTGAAATACCTGCTAATATGAATAATACAGACTGTAGGCTAAATCAGTTAAATTCTAACTTTCAAGTTGTCATTAGTTAAAAATCTAAGAATATTCAAGAAAAAAAAATGAATTATTGTTCCTGAAACTATTTTTATTGTAAAATATAACTCCAGTTAGGTTAACATGTGTTTAATTGTGTTATGAAGTAGTCAAATATACTTTTTCAAGACCATAGTCTGTAAACCATTGTATATTCTTGGGCAAGCTCTGTGAGTGAGAAAACTTATATCAAATAAATATATTAGGCTATTTCAATTTTCAGATGGAAAATATATAAAACACACAAAAATGAAAACAAGGCAAACATCTGTAATGCATTCGGTAACCACCATGCTGAACATGTTTTTTGAGTTTATTAGCTCAGTAAGGAGTAAGCTGTTATGGTAATTTCTGGAGAGAAGTTAAAATGTGTTATGTATTAATAACAAACAATAGATTTGTTCATTCAGCATGGGTGGGCTATATTAAAAGAATAATTAAAGCACAATTTTGTAGAGATTTAAAGTATTGCTCTACATGTTATTGCTATTGGTAAAGTAAACATTAATGGTCATTTATTTGAAGGCAATAATTACTCTAATGACCAAATCTTTTTACTGATGGCAGCAGTGAAAGTTTGCTTGTCAAAGACTGCATTATCATGGCCATGGTCAATAAGAGAGTTTTAAATATGTGTGCAGTATTTAGATCTGAAAAAGGTTGTGAGTTGCAGCCCAGAAGTTAGAACTGTATAGCTAGACCCCTTGCCTTGATGCAGATTGCTATTGAGGGCCCATCAACAGGGGTCTGATTGCAGAGCCAGGACTTTGGATTCCAATCCATTTAAAGTCTCCTTGTAAAATGCTAAAATATTTAGGCACTTAGTTACATGGCTGTACCATGGCCAAACTTGAACTGTGAAAATGGATATTGCAATTGATCTGTTCAGTGATCTCTATTTCGGAGGAACAGTGCACCTAGTGTAAGTAGCAAACATGTTACTGACTATGTCTTGTCATTTTCCTCTTTGAGGATCCACCTACTTCAGTTTCACTTGGACTTCGGATGGAAGAGATGATTTTTAATTTGGCAGACACGCATCTATTCTTTAATGATTTAGAAGTAAGTACTAATTGTTTTATGTACTGGTATCAGTTATTTAATATTCTGTTTATATAACATGATTCCAAATGATTAGGGACCTACCAAATTCATGGTGGAAGTAGAGTGCATGATGACTTCTTTAATCTTGCATGTTTCCCCATATGCACCTCACCCCTTCCCTCCTTCCTTACCTCCCCTGCTGCTGATTAGTGGATGACCCCACTCCCTCCTGATCAACAGGGAAGCTAAAACTGCAGTTTTAAACATGACGCCATTTTTGCCTCCCCGCCAATCAGCAGCAAACAGTAGGGCCATCTGGGACCCCTTAGTCAATCAGTTTCATGAGGCAAAAATGGCGCCATATTTCAAACCAGTTTTTGCCTCCCCACTGATCAAAAGTGAGCTGCCCTCCACCAATCAGCTGGGGCTGGACACCCCACTTCCACCATGAATTCAGTAGGTCCCTACAAATGATATGATTTAACAACTTTAAAATGCAAATGTTAAAACATATAGATTTTTTCCAAAGTTTTTTGGTATGCAGAAATACAATCGGTATGCTGATTTAAAGTCTTTTTTTTGTCACTGTAGATATATTTTATATTATTCAGATATTGTTTTATAATCACAATAGAAGCCTGTAGAAGTGGGTGCAGCATTTATAAACATTAGAATTCAATAGTCTGTATAAGCCATTAAATATTAAACTTTAGCCTCTAACAGTTAAAAGCCGGGTACAGATTTCTCAGTTACATCCCACTGTGGGGACATATTACCTTAAAACCCGAGGGAAATCATTAATGTTGCATATGCTGTCAGCCTCTGTGGCTTATTACATTGGGTCTTCTGCCTTCCCCAATAGCAGGTACAATTTGTTATGTACTAGGGTTTCTTTGTTAATCGTGCCTCTCTTGTGTGGCATGCAGCAAATAGTCAGTGTCAGCATGCCAAGGACTTACTCAGTCTTTCTAGACTGTGGTTTTGGGGCTTCTTGTGAGACCATTCTAAGAACTATGTGGATCGCTGAAAGCGACTGTCACCATGACGCTTGGTTGTTTCATCTTAAAATGAAAAAAGCAATTTCTGTTCATATTTTCATAACAAAAAAACATGCAAATAGTCACATTTCTTTCCCATAGTAATAAAGACAGCTGTTTATTTAAAATCCAACTGTTAAACAAGCTTGTGGTGGGACTGCCAACAGGCATTAATCATCAAGTTGTTGTTTAGCTGGATTTCAGAAAAGTGTGTTATTCCAGACAAGCAAAAGAATCTAAAAGATTCAAATGCAACTTTTGCTGATCAAAGTTAATTGGCAGCAATTGGCCTTTAAATATTTCCTGATGTTTCCCTTTTCAAAATCAAGGAAAATACACCTTATTTAATAGATGAGTCAAAATCATTTGAAAAATGCCAGTGTGACAGACCTTAAATGTGGTTTGTCCAACATCTGTCCCATATTTTGATTTCTTTTCATCTGCAAAGAAACTACTCACAGATGAATTGGCAACTTACAGTGTAATAAAATTATTTAAATATGCTTTATTTTTTCCATTCCTTGGCAAAGTATTTATTTTTACACTTATAATAAAATACAATATTTCTTGCATCAGAAAGTCTTTTCTTTCATTAAGGAAACTGCAAGTAAAGATGTTATTGTTTTTGATACAAAAATGTCAGTAGTGAATGACATGTGTAGGCTTGATTTTCAGACCATAGAAGACCATAACAAGGCTACTTATTTTCCAAATCTGTTTCTGTTTTATGGTAATATTTCATTTTGTCCAGACCAGCAAGAAAAAAATAGCTCTAAGATGTACTACTGTGTTCACTAAATTCTATACTGCATTTTCATTCCTTTGCACAGTCAGATATATGAGTGTAATAGCCATCCCTTCAGACATGAATGTAACTGTAATTGAAGTTAATGAGAGTTAATCACATGTATGATGGTGATAATAGAGCATTATCTGTTAATTGCCATGTTACCTTAATATTAGAGCATAGCATCATTTTAATAGGGTTGTGTCGCACATTCAGCTTAGCACTTACTAAGTACAGCTTAAACGCAAGCAGACGCACAATCAAGCCGTTTAGCACGTTAGTGCCCTCCTGATGTTACAGCGTTGTTCCCTTTCAGGTAAGGGTCATCTCCCAACACATACTAACTTTAGTAGGTCACTGCATTCCAATGATTTTCAACTCTAGCAAGTGAACATGTGACAAAGCTGTTTTTCATTCAAAAACATTGAAGCAGACTGTATGAGTGTGGAAAAAAAAAATTTTAAATACTTAATGACCCACATTCTTCGTTGAAGCCACAGAGCTGACTTGGCCATGTTTACACTCCCACAATACTGGGCCACTTGTCGGATATTCCCAGCATCAAGCATAGCAGCCCAGACACTATAATGAACTGCTCATTTGGTAACATGTAGGTGCTTATGGCCAGGTTCTACTCCGTAATATGCATGCAGACTGAAAAAAGAGGGTGCAGGATGTCATCAGCCTTCTTTCCCCTCCCCCTCCATCTTGCCTCCATGGGAGCAAGATAGGATAGCTCCCTGGTACCCAGATGTCAGTTAGGGCCCCAGACATCACTATAATGCGAATAAATAAGGCATTCCAGAGGGCACCAGTTATGAGAGCTGGGAAAGGAGTGTCTACAACACCCAAAGGTCCATAGACGATATTGACATAGATATGCATTTACATGGAGAATAACTTGTGTTATAGTTATCGTCGTTATTTGAGTTGAGACTCATTGCCTGAGAAATGCAGCATTAATTCTCAGGTTTTGGGATCCAAAATGTTTAATAAGTTGATTTAATTCAGATTTGGTTGAATGCTCATTGTCTCTGAAACTACAAAAGTGTGTCGTTTCAGGCAATGTGTACTATATAATACTAGAGAAGGCAGGCAAGACTAAGCTGGGAAATGGTTTAGCTTTTGTTTTTGTTGTTGTTGCTCTATAGTTTATTTTAATACCCTATTGGCATTTATAAGTCCTCTTTCTTTCTTTTGTTCACCTGTTTTGTTATGTATTTTGCTCTCTTCTTTAAGCTTTCCAGAGCCTCCTTCAGGGAAAGATGGCATACAAATCTCATTTCCCCAATCTTGTTCTTTTTTAGCTATTACAAATCAGTTGTTTTGAACTCATCTGATCATCTTGGTTTTTCAGAGGTGAAAATTTCCATCCTGCCCAAGTGTAATTTAACATTTCAAAACTCAGTGTTGCTGTGTTTGTAGATTTTGGATAAAGAACCAGACCCAGACGTATAGTCAACATTAAATTTGAAGTAGTGCCTTTGTCTCAGATTGCTAAATCCCATAATAAAGGGTATAGTAAGGATGGTTTTTTTTGTTTTGTTGCATCTATTAAAGCTATGAAACTAAAATAAAATATAGTTGTAAGTCTTGAAAGACTTTTCTTAAATTTTATATGGTATGATAAATGTAACTGACAAGCATTTTAACATATTGAAAGGGGAGTATAAACATTTATGAATGTGTAATTCAATTTAAGTGCTTACAGAAGAAATGACAGAAGTTTATTGAGTAAAATGTTGTTTCATTTAATTAGATTATGAAACTATTACATACATGGATCAAACAGAGCAGTAATTATAGACAGTACTTTCAAAAGTTAGTAGCCTCAGGTTGAAAATAAGTGCCCTAAATAAGTGGCTTCAGTTGAAAAGCCTTGTATATCCAGTGGGTGTTTTTGTGCCTGAATATAAATTTAAAAATCTAACATTAGGCATCCACAGCTGAAATTATTGCCTTAACTCTGCCATATTCTCTTCTTTAAAAGTCCTTCTACTCCTAATTACATGCTTGAATGAATAAATGTATTTGTGTAATGCTCTCAAGAGAATCAATATTATATAATCAGGAAAGAATGATGCAATAATACCTGATTTCACATAAATTAGCAATGCTTTCTGATAGGTGGCAAAAAGTATAATGTTTTAATACTAGTTACATGCACGTGAGCATTTTAGAATCTATGCTACTATGTTTTAAGGGAATTATCAGCTTGATGGTTACTATAAAATGTGACATTGCATTGTTCAACGAGGTTCCTTGGGTGAATTTGATATCTTTTATTAGACCAACCCAAATGGTTGGAGAATAGTTATTAAGCAAGCTTTCGGGTTCAAAAACCCTTCGTCAGGCTAAGGAAGCTTCAGCAGTTGGTGTGTGCTCTTCCTGGATGGAATGAAAAGTAAAGAAGCCAGGGGCTGGGCTGGGCTGGGCTGGGCTGGGCTGGGCTGGGGAGTCAGTTGCCAGGCAGATAATAATGAATCTCTGGGAAGTGTTGTGTAAGTTTCCCTTGAGGATCAGGACTGAGAGATTGGAGAGAGAGTGGCCCTCCTGTGAGAAATGTGCCCCCACCGGTAATTGAGTGTTTCTGTCTTTGATGGATTTCCGGTGTGCATTCATTCTGGTGCGCAGTTGTTGTTTGGTCTCTCCTACATAACTTCCATCAGGGCATTTGGTGCATTGGATGTGGTATATTACATTTCTGGAGGTGCAGCTGTAAGATCCAGGAATGCTGATGGCTCTGTTGTGGGGTGTAGTAATTGTGGGGGTGGTGGAGATGTGTTGGCAGGCTTTGCCTTTCTTGTCATGGCACGGTCTGGATCCTTTTGGTGTGTTCTGGGGTTGAGGAAGTTTGCTTCTGGTGATGAGGTTGGCGAGGTTCGGTGCTTCTCTGAAGGCTAGGATGGGTGGCTCTGGGAAGATCTTTTTAAGAATAGGGTCTTTTTCTAATATGGGTTGCAATTTTTTGAGGATTTTCTGTACAGGTTCAAGGGAGGGGTGATACGTCATAACCAGCGGTGTGCGATTTGTGGGTGTTTTTCTTCTGTACTGCAGCAGTTTTTCACGTGGTATCTGGGTGGCTCTTTCAAACGTGCAGTCTATCTCTCTGGAGGAGTGTCCTTGCTGGGTGAAAGCCTTTTTAAGATTGGTGAGGTGGCGATCCCGGGTGTTCTCTTCAGTACAAATGCGGT